ACATGACAAAAGACAGTATCCTTGCTTATCCACGACATGATGTTAACTACTACCACTTGTATATGGCGCGATAAGGACCGTGACATTACACACGGTTCAAGCTATCAACGGAATAAATGCTGCATACCACCGATCTACAAAGGCTTTGAAATATTCCTAAAAATATAATTAATGCTGGATTCACAGTTTTAAGAAACAAATTTTATATCAAGGCTGTTTTTTAAAACAGTTTTTATGTTCAGTGTCAACATTTACACTTTAAAAAATGGATTCGATAGGTTGGTGTGATCTAAAATTACAAATTATCGCAAAAAATGAGATTTAAAACAGTTCCCTCAATGATTTCGACTCATACAATGAGTATGACGAAAGCCTACAAATCCTGATCTTGCAATGCATTCATCTAGCAGAAGGCAATTTTGCAATAAAATATTAGTTTTGTAATACCTAAACGTTAAACATGTTACAGTTAACGTGCTCCTTATATATCATAGTTTGTAAGAAAACATTAGACTGACGCATAGTCTCTGAAAATATATAATTTGAATAGAAACAAAATTGAAAACAACAACATTGAAAAGGAGCCCCGGTGAGATGGGATATTCAGAGACGAATAGCATCTTCATTGAGGCTACGCATGCTGTGGTCATTATCAATTAAAATCACATTCTACAACCATCAGATAATGGTTTAAATGACAGGCATATATATTGTCTCACTTGCCAAGCTCTGTCCTCCATGGAGTGCTGCTGTCATCACCTCATGTTGCCCAGTCTAGCCCTCCCATTTCCCTTATAGTAATTTCTTACAGACATATTTTGAAACTTCGTTCACAATGTTATATGGTTGTTAGATGGCCCAATTGCAAAAACATATCCGGAACACCAATAAAGTTATCTAGGAATTTGAATTTGGAGACAAACTGGAGACAATACAAACATTGTGTGTAAAATCTTCATCGGTGAACAAACAAACAAAAGCGACAAGAGTCGATGAAAATGTTAATAAGCTGAATTCTTCATTCAAGAAAACATCATGGACTCGTGGAACAATTTTGTCAAAATGACTAAGGTCTGACAGTGATGTATCTCCTAGTGCGACCCAAGCATTACAAAGAAAAGCCTTATTTAATAACAGTTTAGCAAGATCTCTGGCTGTAGCTGCAAACACGTGACACTAAAGGCCTGTGCCAGGTCAATTACAAAAAAATTATCCTTGTGTTTTACAACGAAGCCTTAATCACAGTCACACTGGAGCATAGACAGAGTTAAGACATTAAGAGTTGACAGATGCAAATGTTAGAAAAAATTCCTGACCACTGGCAAAGATGTTGGTCCAGCCAGCCATGGCAGTTGATATGTTAACTCTGTAACCTGACCCCTGTTAGTTAGCTTTCTTGCAGACGATAACAGACCCTGGAATCCATTCCATTGGGGCACCATGTCATACAATCAGCTAAGTCACAGAGCATGTTGTTGTTTGTTGTTTAACGCCGCACTCAGCAATATTCCAGCTATATGACGGCGGCCTGTAAATAATCGAGTCTGGACCAGACAATCCAGTGATTGACATCATGAGCATCGATCCACGCAATTCGGACCGATGACATGCATCAATCAAGTCAGCGAGCCTGACCACCCGATCTTGTTAGTCGCCTTTTACAGCAAGTTTGGGTTGCTGAAGACCTGTTCTACTCCGGATCATCACGGGTCCACAGAGCATGAATTCGCGATCCATTTTAGTCGACCCTTTTGCCAAACATAGGTTACTGGGATCCAGTTCTACCCCGGAGTCCCAACAGGGCACATTGTTAATATGGCCCTATTACATGTTTTATGTACAACATTGTTACAGAATTAATAGCGCTCATGTTGATCTTTGTATCCTAAATTTATTAACAGATCATTTTTTTTGCGTTCAGATGGAAAATGTGGTATGGAACATCATTATACGTACTGGATTCCTCCATCTGAACTTTCCGCAGAGACTTGCCACATTCTCCCACTGTCCAGAGGCTTGACAGACACTGGTGTTTCTCTGATGACAGACCATGTAGTCCTTCTTACATGAATACCTTGCCACAGCACCCTGGTAGTGTCCGTCATGGCTCACGCTGGCCCCGAGTACATTAGGAGGATGCCCGCAGCCCGGAAACTCTGTACAGATAATCACATGCAACAGGGATACGGGTTCCCCTAATCCAAAAAATGCAAACCCAACGCCAACACCAATCGCCGACGAACGCCTAATAGTGCTATTTTGGTTACTTTTATTCGAATATTTTCTCGTTATTCCGAATATTTTTTACAACTGACCAAAGTTTCGATTTTTGTCTCAGACTGGTAATTTAAAATAATTTCACTCTATTTCAATTACTTTGTTTTGATATTTTGAATATTTTGTCGTTATTACAAATACTTATAATATGTCGATATTTCAAGTTTGTTTCTCGTAATTTCGATTATTTTCTCGAAGTTTCACGTATTTTCTCGTAATGTCGATCGTTTTCTAGTTATTGTAGATTAGAAAAACTTGAATTAACGATTAAATAATTGAAATAACTAGAAAAAAAAATCTATTTAAAAAATACAATTATACTACCAAAGTGGCACTGTAAGTCTTTCGTACGCTTTAACTATTATATTCATTACATGCTGTTAAAAAAGTACCCGTATTGTGATATGTGAAAAGGTGAAATTATGTTGTGGTAAACGTTAAAGTTCAGTTACAACATACCTGGAACACATGTTGCACGGCCATGTCGATCTACTTGACAGCTGGTGGTCAGGGGACATGACATTCCTAAACAGGGACCAGAGAGAGTCTGGAAATATAACATACAAATGCACTTCTCAAAGTTGGAGGTGGAAAAGTTATTCAAAAATATTAGTTGTGGTAATAGATTGGAGCAATTTTGGCATTTGGCCAGTAAAGTTAACCGTATAATATAATCGGATGTTCCAGACGTTTATTGGTAGATGCTTAACAATATTTTTGCTATATATTGCGATAGATACAGCTTGTAAATAGAACACAGCACTACTCGTGTCTAAAACACATTACTTTTGCATCTATTTGTGAATGAGAGACGATGGTCAAACGCTCGTGTGTTACATGAGATTAATGTGTCTTTTTAAGTGAGATTAATGTGTCTCTTTAAATGTAAAGTGTTTTGTGCTTACCTATCATGACATAATATTGTGGTATCACCAAGGGAGTATTTATTCTGGGACTTTACGTAGTACTAACTGTCCATGCTTCGAGTACGAATCATTACATATAACTGTAGGATCATCACCCTGAACGAATATCTTACTTCCCTCTTTTCAAAAAACGTAAAACACAGGCCGAAAGAGCAAACTGTCCAAGCCCATTCTTGCATGGCTCGAACTTGTGGCCAATGGGTGGTAACAAAACTAATAATTGTTAATTTATGTTGATATACAATGTAAATTAAAGCGTTTCCAAATTTTTGGATTACCCGTTTTTTAAGTCTACCAAATTAATACCCCCCCCCCCCCCCCCCAATCAGTTGACCTCATCCCAACACACCCTACCTTTCCTGTCCCATGTTTAAAAAAGTATCAACTTCACACAGACATAATCAACAATGACCCCCAAAATTGTTCGGATGGATTTTAAACAAAGAAATTATTTTAGAGGTACTAATCTTTTTGTGTGTTAAAATCTTGACAGATGTGATGATGATAACACAAATTATGCTCACAATGTATCTGGTAGTCTGAATACCACAGATCACACCCTATTTATACATAATTCCAAGGAAGCGTTTACGATAAATGTACCGAGCAACACCAATAAAAACACAGTTGGTGTTCAGAACATATATGATACAACATAAGTCATAAATATGTTGAATATTCATGTACCCTTAGATAAAGAAAAACATTCTGATGAAGAAAATATTTTTACCCAAGCATATGCAAACACAGACGCACATAATAACATTGATGTCACAGATGTCCTGAATTTTCATACCTGTACCCCATTTATTTTTAACAGAGTCCATGAAGCAAGGATTCCATGTCAATCAATGGCAAACATATTTGTATAATGTTAATGTTATAATAATTGTGATATTGATGTCAATGTTGTTCTTTATGATGATAATCATATTGTTTTAACTCAATCAAATGTAAACAAATATGTTGACAAAATATTTGATGTCATGCTTGCTTCACAGATGATAAAATAACAGATGTCGAAGTAAGTGCTCAAATTACAACATCTATCAATAAAGAGGTTGATGCAGAGGGCAGTAAGAATGATGTATCTACCATATATAAGCTAAACAAAAACTCTGAGAAAAATATTCAACCTATATAAACCTGATGTAAACACAAATATTTACTGATACTGAAAATATGTGTAATAACCCAGACAACATGAAAAAAAATCTTAGTTCAGAATAGAATGCAGACAATCTCGTAAGAAAATTAATAAAGCAAAAAAAGCGTCTCAAAAAATCAAAAGCAGAATTTAATAGATTGGCATATCACCAAGAGGAAAAGATTTACAAGAAAAGTATACATCACGTAAATATAAAGACAATCTAAATTAGACATTTCGTCAAAACCTTCACCACTCACCAAAAGAATTTTGGAAGATCCTAACTAAAAGTGAGAAAGAAAACAATTCGAAAACTCCTGATGCATCTTTATTATAAACAAAAGAAAGTTTTCACTTTAAAAATAGTTGTATAAAAAGCAAAAAAGCTGGTACAGGTTTGAACCCCCGCAGAAAACATTCGCCCAAATGCAACATGACCATAACGCAGATTTTCGAACGCAACTTTCCAAATCATGCATTGTTGAAAACGTGCAAAACGTGATTTTGAGACATTGGTCCTAATGCACGTGCGTGATTGTGGCATAAATACCGACGTTTGACAGAGCAGGCATTCAGTAAGCAAAAAAACCACAAAGAATATGCCCAGACTTACACAAGTGCAACGAGACAGAGCGATCGGTATGGCCAATATGGGGGCTACTCAACGTCAGTTAGCCAGAACTTTCAACTGCTCCCAAACCACCATCAGCAAGTTGATAATCCGCTACCAACAGACAGGAGAGACTCAAGACCGGCCAAGATCGGGAAGACCGAGAGTGACAACACCGGCCGAAGACCGCTACATCCGGCAGATTCACCTCCGAAACAGATGTGTGACGGCGACGTCAACGGCGGCAACAGCACTAAGGCATGCCATCAGCAGACGAACAGTCCTTCGAAGACTTCGTACGGCTGGTATACGAGCCTACCGACCCTTCCGTGGAATGGCCTTGACCCGTCTACACCGTCAACGCTGACTGCAATGGGCACGAACTGTACGTCGGTGGCAGCGACGTGACTGGACGAGAGTGCTCTTTACAGATGAAAGTCGGTTCTGTCTGTTCAGGAACGATGGCAGAGATCGAGTTTTTCGACGAAGGGGAGAGCGACTGGCGCCAAACTGCAATATAGAGGTTCACCCGTTTGGAGGTGGAGGCGTCATGGTATGGGGTGGCATTTGTGGCCAGATTACAACACGGCTGGTTATCATCCGAGGAAACCTGAATGCTCAGCGATACAGGGATGAAGTGTTGAGACCTGTTGTGGTGCCCTTTATTCAACATCAGCCAAGAGGATTAATTTTGCAACAAGACAACGCAAGGCCTCACACCGCCCGAATTGTTCAAGACCACCTGAACAACGTTAACGTCAATGTATTGCACTGGCCAGCTTGTTCTCCAGATATGAACCCCATTGAACATCTCTGGGATCATCTTGATCGTCAGCTGAGACAACATGTACCACCTCAAGCGAACCGACAGGAACTTGAACAGACTCTATGGAACTTATGGAACAGGATTCCTGTTGACGTTATCCGCCGACTGTCGACGTCAATGAGGAGGCGTGTTTTGGCGTGCATGGATGCCCAGGGTGGTCACACTCGCTATTGATGACGTGTTACATGACTACTGTGTCATTAATGGACTCTTCATGCACTTTCTCAATGAACCCTGATTTGTGTAATTTTTATTTTGGACCCATTGACTCTTTCTTTGTGTATTGCAGAGAATGCAATATCGGCATTACAATGCATGTTCATTCTAATTCATGGAAAATGATTTCTGTTTATAAATTAATCATCATAAATCTCACATATGCCTTTGTTTTTGGTGTTTGGTCAAGTGAAGTCGGTGAAAACTTTCTTTTGCCCGGTAGTTTATGATTATAAAATCGTAAACGATGATGTAATGACTGAAGAAATTATAAAAGCTGCAAAGAAGCTTAAACGAAATAAGTCTTCCGGACTAGATTTTTCCTAGAATGATCACATAAAAGATAGCATTCCCCCAATATATTCGGAATTTTTCAATCTTGTGTCTCATGTGGTGTAGATTTTACAAAGGCATTTGATACTGTCTGGAGAGTAGGACTGTGGTCGAAAATGCAAAACTGTGGAATTGAGGGCCGTTTTCTAACTAATATGTACAGTAATATTACATAAATGCTACAATCAAATAATGCAGAATCGGGGTATTTCCCTTGCCATTCAGGTGTCAGACAGGGCGAAAATCTGTAACCACCACTATTTTTAAATGATCTGGAACCGTGATTAACAAAACAAGGATGCAAAGCGTTTTGATTGAATCGTACATCAGGAAATGACATTACAGTAGGGTTACATAGTTTAGTTTTATTCTATGCAGACGATACAGTCTTTTTTAGCGATACCCAATCTAGGTTACAAAAATCATAAGATTCCTTTAATCAATATTGCTTAAAATGGAGGCTAAATGTAAATATCTCAAAAACCAAAAGAGTAATCTTTGGAGGGGGCCCAGCCAAATCCACCAAATCGATATTTTATTTTTTGGGAAAGATACTAGAAATTGTTGATAATTATACATATTAAGGTATAAAGCTTCACAGAAATAGAAAATTTGTGTTTTGTATGACATAACTAACAGCAAAAGCGACAAAAGCATTTCAGGTCGATAAAGCTGTTGTGGTTTTACACTTCAGACGTCGCAGATAATGAAGCGCCAACGCGTTGGGCCCCAGTACGAATACGGGGATATTGCGATATATCCGGGACATTATTATCAAAGGGGGTGTGGTCTGGGGAATATTCTAGGTGGGATAGCAATGCCTTTGTTAAAAAATGTAGGTAAGTCTTTCCTGAAAAGCGGTGTGAGGGCTCTTACAAATCTGGCGGACGATGTTGTATACAGTAATGTTTCCCCTAGGGAAAGCTTTAAAAGGAGAGGTCAAGAAGTTTGAACGACGGTGTGTGAGGAGTGAAACGGGAATCTCTGTATGCTCTGTCTTCAGCACCTATCGCGGGTAAGAAACGTAAGAAATTGATAAAGAAGAGCAGAATAGCTGTGCGGTAAAAGATGATACGTCCTGAAGAAGCACAGTGTTCAAAATCAGAGCTGGACCTGTTTTCAGTGCAAGCCATTGTGACTTCTATGCAGGATAGTGGCTGTACGGTTTACCCCTACTACCACCATTACAAGTGGGGGGCCGATACGGTTTGATTTTAACCCTGTAAATAATGACATAGATTTGAGTCAGTGTTATTTGAGAGTGGTATTCAAAAGAATCGAGGGAAATGGGTCTGACGTCGCCACTACAGATAATGTAGGGCCTGTGAACAATGTACTACACTCCATGTTTAAACAGGTACTTGTAATGCTGGGTCAAAATCAGACCGAAATAACACCGTCATTAGGCACCTACCCCTACAGAGCTTACATTGACAACTGCCTAACCTACAGACTGGATGTGATGTCAAATGTCCTTCAGTGCCAAGGATGGTACAGGGACGAAAGTGGGAAAATGAATTACATAAACATGCAGGATGGATGCAGCCTTTGGATGAAAAGATGACACACACTAGTGACTCCTACAAGAGAAGTTGAATTGACTGGCCGGCTGGCTGCACTGTGACCTGTTTCTTCAGCCCAGATATCTTCTAGATGGCCTTCCCTTGAAAACAGAACTGGTGAGAAGTGCTAATTCTTTGAAATACAACAACAGTTGCAGAACCCCGTGACACTGGTATGCTACCAAGAAGGGAGCTGTGTAATAGAGGTTGATGCTTTCAGGTAGTTGGCATTAGTTAATAAGTATAGCAATTATGTCCATGCAAGACAACCAGAGAGCTGAATAACTTTGCTCTAAATAACCGTCAAATGTCCAGTATTTACGGCGATACCATTCCCAGAGACTGGTTATTGAGAGTCCATAGGAGCGCTTATCACGAAAACGTACGCCAGAAGCGTACATAGTGACCTCGGATGTAAGCTCACAGCCCTGTACCAACTGGATTGCCTATCATGTTCCCAGGAAGTATGTTGTAGAGTGCTTCGAACCTTCTGGGCAGGATATTTCACTACATTTTCCAGAGTTTAGCCGCTTTAAAGAACTTTATGGGTACAAATCTCATCGAAGCAATTACGCCAGGTACAGTTCAATTCCAGTTCTTTGTGCGGGGCTTACTGTCTGTATTTCATATACTTGCTGCAGAGGTTATGGGTTACAAAGCATTGTGAACTCATTCTATATTGGGAATACACAAGCTAATGACCGTTTGCTATACCTATAATTGTAGCTCTGTTATTGAGAAATTGTCTTATGTCAACAATTGGGGAGGCTTCCTTGATGCACACTGTTACCCTCTTCGAAGTTGACAGCGTGATTTGGTCCGTCAAGCACGTGCTGCCAGTAACGTTGACGGTCAAAGATTTGGCGGTACCTGTGTTAGGGAGAGTTTCGGGCGTGGAATGTAGGTATTGTAGTGTCGTGAGAACGCCACATCGAGTACTAGCTGCGACGGTTAACGTAAGCACGAATAAATACACACACGGTCTGCGCTGTCTTACACACTTAGGGGTGTTTACCGCCTTTCTCCCATGCTGCATAGTGACCATGTGCCAGTCCTTAAAAGACTTGAATCTCGTTAGTGGGTCGTAAACAATTGTAATATGCGTGTCATGGTGATGGCTAGTGATATGGGGTGGGACGTTTATTGGCTAGTGAAGATTAAAAGATACTAAAATCAGCATGTGGTGGTTTTAATGTCACTTTAATGAGGTAGATGTACGGTGTGATGGGTTATGTAATAGTTCAGCCAAGTGAAATTACGACAACTTATACCATCTACAATTTTTCATCTTATAACTTAAAAACAACATATTCATATTTATTTTCGATCTCTATAATCATTGTAATAGCATTGCGGGGCCTACATCCAGTTTGCCTTCACAATGATCAGGTTATTGTAATTGATAAAGCTCATTCTTAATTTCATAAGGCCTTCCTTAGTATGTTTCCTTATTCTAAACTGATGTTTCAGTTTCCCTCACAAACGATTAAGAATGCTATTCTTTTTCTCTTTACACCAATAGATATCTGCATTGCCCAATGTTATAATTTTATTTGACATATTGATATACTTGTCCTTGTGTGATTACACATGTATGACATTTTAGCAGTCATTATATATAAGTGGCAGTATGAAAATTATTTGTTAAGATTGGAATGCTACACTAGTTAAGGACTTATGGTGGGAAATAACACAACGGCTGATAAATAAAATGACATTATTACATCGATGTGACATGTTACCCCAGACTGACAGAATGAATCGCTGCTTTCTGACATAGAAAATGCCGTGGCTACATACCGTTTTTCATGGCGTTTTTTTTCAGGTATGCCGATGTGTGTCTTAGTTACAGATGGTTAAGCTTGGCCCCGTCCCTACATGCCACTAGTTGTCACAGCGCACATTGATCAGGGACCCAGACCGGAAGCGACAGGATGGACCGTCACTTACATCATTGAGAGTTATTGCCCTTTGGAACAAAAAGATCGCCCATTACATAATAAAAGAAAAAACATAAATCAGTATTCAGTTAGACCCTATTCTTAAACGCCAACTCCGACAGCATGTGCACCAGTTATAGGATGGAAAGAGGCAGCAAATGTCAATACAATGTGTTCAAAACATGTGTTCATTGTAGTAGGACCATTACCGGCCCAAACGTAATCTTGTAATCAGAACCGACATATATTGTGAATATCCCAGTTTTAAACATATGGACCCATGTTGAACATTAACCATGTTGAACGTAATCGGACAAGATCTTCATCACATACGATTTCGCCAAAATTAATATACACAATATTGAAAGAAATTTTGAATAAAATTAAATACCTACATTACAAACATAAGTCCAGGTATGCAATGATAACTTTTTATGACCAGACAGTGCAGTAGGAGAAAGTCAGCATTATACAGTTCCCCAGGGAAGTG